TTTACATCAGAATCGTGCCTTATGCGTGTTTGTGTACTTGTACATATGTATGTATGTGTGCATTGGGCCTGGTTATATGGCTATAACTTTCTTTCCGATCATTCTATCATAATGAGACTTGGTATACGGTTATATAATAACTAACCTAATGTGACTACCAAATTTTAGTTCAAAATTCCAAGAATTACGGAAGTTATAGAAAATCGTTAATAGGGGGGGAGTGGGGGGGTGGATCAGAAAAAATGAACAAACTCGTCCTTTCTCGGTCTCAGGAGAATCTGTATACCAAGTTTGGTTATTCTAGCTCTTATACTTTCGGAGATCCTTGCGTTCATACAGACAGACAGACGGACAGACGGACAGACAGACGGACAGACGGACAGACGGACATGGCTATATCGACTCGGCTTGTCATGCTGATCAAGAATATATATACTTTGTGGGGTCTACCAAGCCTCCTTCTGTGTGTTCCATGTGCACTCGCACAAAACTAATATACCCTTGTACCCTTTTGGGTACAGGGTATAAATATTAGAGTAAACTAAAAGTAAGACGTCGAAGTCTTCATTTATGCTGAATAGAATTTTTCTTTTGAATACATTTCAGTAGAAAAGTTACTAGCACATGCATGAAGTTGCAAATTTGAAGTCAAACATGAAAGTTTAAGTGCGCAACAAGTTTGAAAATGTTTGGTAAAGAGCAAAAATGTCAACGCATCCTTCAAACTGGCAGTTAAGTGTCAAAATCGGCTTATGCACACATACACGTACATATGTACATACATACATATGTATACATATTTAGATGGACTAATAAACAATTCAAGAGGCGGCGGCCTGATGGCGAAGCATCGTCAATTTGAAACACATTACAAGAGTCTTTAAACTTTTGATTGGCTTAGACCTCAACTAATAAGGAAGGCGCTTAAGAAATTATGGCAAGTTGCTCCATCCGCTAAACAAATTGGCTAAAATTGTTGGCACTAAAAGTAAATGATACCCATTTGCAAGCAAGCAACGATTCGCTGACGGTCTGACTGAATGACGAACAGTCAGTCAACTTAAAACGCTTAACTCCCAACTGACGATTGTCGTCTGTGTGTCACACAGCGAGAAAGCGAGCGAGCTGCGACTTCGCAGGCAAACAACTTAAGTCGACTTGGCTTGGGGAAACTTTTTCAATAAACTGCCGCAGGACGGCCAAATCTTTTAACTAGCTCAACTCGATATAGCACAGCGTGGCAGGAGCAGCACGCAAATATTTTGTAGACGAGCGAGCGCCAATAAGTGAGAGAGTGAGGCAGTGAGAGAATGGAGGGCGACGTTGAAAGGGCAATGAAACAACTTAAGAATCACTCACAAAATATGCATAGAAATTGGGCAAGCATTTGAATTTTACATGCCAAGCGGTCTTACGATTCTCGACCATAAAAATTTCAACAACAACAAAAATACACAAAGAACAAAAAATACTACAAGTTGCCCAAACACAAATTGTAGCAAAAACTTTAGCGAACACAAATTGAGCTGAGCTGAGAAGTTTTTAAAGAGCAATAAAAACAAAAACTTGTTTGCTAAACAATATTGTACAAATGTATACTTGTGGGTGTGCGTATACTTGTTAGTGTGTGTGTCTCTGTGTGTGTGTGTGTGCGTGTGCGTGTGTAAGCACACACATTTTTGCATAATAATTTGCGCAAAATAATTTCAACATAAAACCATAGCAAGATATTACGCTTCACTTGCCGATGTTGTTCATAAAACAAATCGAGATATAATAGGTGACCCGACTGGGCTACATTGCCGAGAGGTGTAGCGCAGTCTGGTGTGTTGTTGTGTGGTTGGGCGGTACGGTAGGGGTTGGCTGGTACGGCAGCAGGCGACAAGTTGTCGTCAACGCAGACTATCAAATATTTAGGCGACAGCAGAGCAGGTCACTCAAATAGCAAAAGTTACTTCTATGAATGAATAATTGTTTATCTCTGCTTTACGAATGAGAAGGTGAGCAAATTATATATAGCATACTTTTTAGGGCCAGGGCAATAAGAGGACCAAATTGCTAGCTAGTTTCTAGTGCTGCTGCTCCTGCTGTTGTTGTTATCATAGCCGCTGCTTCTTCTTCTACATATATATAAACACACATTGGTTGTTGACTGACATTATAGCACGCACATGTGAGCGCGTGTGTTAATTTTCGTATTAAATTCATTAAAACACAAACACAAATACTAATGCAATGCCTGCAGTCTCTCTGGTAATTCTATGTGCGTGTGTGTGTGCGTTTAATGGCATATTTAGTAGCATTTTAAAGTTACCATAGTTTCCAACCTGATGTCTAGGCGGCCGCCCGTCCCCTTCACTCGTCCCATTTCGTCTACGCTAACTTCAAAGGCCACTGTAGCAATAGAAGCACTTAACGGCACTCTGGTGTCAAAACTCTTAACAGCAACCTACCAAGCAGTGGAGACACCGCATATGAAACCGAACAGCCAACCAGCCATCCAGCCAGCCACTCTGCTCGCCAGCAATTGACGCAGCAAAATCAAGACGCTCTCTCTCCGGCTGCTCGGCAAAATTTCAATGAATATGCATGATAGACTGTGTTGGGAGTTCCCTCTGCTGGCTTCCTTCCTCGCTGTCTTTTGCAACCTCTTTCCCCCTCCTCCCACTGTTAGTTATGCTCTTTGCTCTTGTGGCTGACACAAAAATGTAATAGTAATCATAATAATCGTAATAATAATGCCAGTTGACGGCTCCATTTGAGAAATGAATATATTTATGCTAGTTTCAATTGCAAATGCTTATCATTATTATTCTGAACTGGCCCATCGCAGTCCGTCCAGTCATACTGCTACTTTATAATAGAATTCTCAAGTCATGCTAAAAGTGATGGCAATTCCTATCACAAGCGCCAGTTTGTTTCTTTGCCATTGAGCGTTGCTTAGTTTCAGCAAGGCCTTTAGATATTTCATTTTATATTGCTCATACGCCGCATTGGTCGCTTGGGTTTGATTTGTAATTTTTATACAAGCGTTTGATCAGCACTCAAGAGTGATGTAGTTATGTAAATAAAAAAAATTTCGAAAAGGCTTATGTTTCAGAGAATGGTTATGGAGATTTGTATGAGTTCTAATTTATAATAATAAGAATACCCTTTCTGAATTTAATTTAGTTAGAATGGAGAAGCACAATTATTTTCTAGAGTTTTGTTTAGACGACTAAATAAAATTGCCTCCAGAATTCGGTATCTATTATTTTCGTTTATAAGGGTACACAAGTTTTAAGATTTATGTATCGGTTCCAAAACATAATTGAGTATAAGTTATAATCGGTATGTATTGACAACTTTTGTATGTATGTATATTGTGGGCCACTTTTGCATTCAATAAGTGAGGAATTCAAATTGAAATGCTAACGCGTATGTTAATCAATAAATAAAAGCAACAATAATTTTCTACTGAGTGGCGCCTCTTTGTCAACCGATTTCCAAGAATAATTTGATCTACACGTACAATAAAAACAGTTTACAAACCATGCGTATAATAATATTGTATGAAATGGGATATTAATATCATATTTATATATATTATATTGAATAACGAAACCAGTAATAAAGAAATTGCGCATTTGGAATATGAATATTAAGGTTTCCCGCTGCACAAATATTTACAAATGTTTTGTAGAATTGAAAATCAATGCGTACAAAGTCTTTCCCAAAGGCGTGACAATACCAAACGCATTTCGATCGTACATGAGTTTGGTGTCTTTAAGTAGACAACTAACTCGAGATACTAGCTTCACTTAATAACAATGGAGCCATTTATTTGGGCTCACACCCACAGGCCAGTTCATAAATGACGTTTGCTTGAACTGAGCATTAATATTTATACTTGTAATGCATGCATGCATTTCTGCCTGTGAAGGGAGAATTTACAAACGATGACACGAAATGGCTTAATACACAAATAAGACAAAGCTACATACTATATCTACATACTACATGCATACATATATACATAGTTGTATGCATGTATGACTGTTTGCATCTGCTACAATACTTGTATTTAATGTGAAGTAAAGTGTGCTAAAAAGTGCAAAAGGCATGCATATGTGTGCGTGTGTGCAAGGGGGGTGCTCGGTAATATTTGTTGTTGGTGTTGTATGCATTATTGCAGTATTTAATGCCCATACCAAAGCGTAGTTCCTTGCGTCTATAGCCCGTGCCCGAGCCCATGCCAGCATGCGATGCTCTCACCCGCAAAATGCGCGGCTGCGCCAAACGCTTCACACGCTGCCGCATCAGCGAAGCTCCAACAACAACGTCAACGTCAACGCCAGCGTCACCGTCAATTGCATTATTTAAACATTTTTGTTGCATTCCCATTTCCTTGATTTTGGTGTCAATTGTGGCGGCGACGTTGACTTTAACATTGTTGTTGGTTGCAGCAAAAGCAACAGGCGTTTGTAGTAGTTGTTGTTGTTGTTGTTGCTGCTGCTGCTGCTGGGCATGCGTTTTAGTTGTTGCCGTTGTTCTGGTTGCTGCTAAGGATTATGTTATCAATGTGGCAAGCAATTTGGGCAGCAAATTGAAAGACAGTTGAGGGAAGAAGAGAGAGAGAGGGAGAGAGAGAGATGGCATGATTTATTATCAATTTACGGGCTCATTAACCGCCAACAATTATATTGATAAGCTGTGCGATTTTCGCATTAAGAGCCCAGCACAGTAGTTATTTTTTAAGGCTGCTCTGTTTGTTGCTGCCATTCGGGGCATACTACATACATAAGTACGCGCATACTTGTACACAGATGCTGTGATGGTAATTATGTCGATGATGATACAGCAGCTAAAAAATCGAGGCACAACAACAACAATTCAATTCACACTGACAGCCGTTAAAGCCTTAATCAGAGATTATTATACATACTACATACATATATACCTGCACAGGTACACATGAGTATGTATGTGTACGACTGTTCGTATAATGCTACTTGACTTACTTTTTACACGCAGCCAGGTATACGCCGATCGCTCTCCCACCTCATTAGTAGCCAGGCATTGAAACATGGCCGCATCGTCGAGCGTCAGTTTTTTAATCACCAATGTATTATCCGCATTCAGGGCATAGCTGAAAAAAGGGAAATATATTACGTAAAATATACCAGAAATTTTACTTTACTTTGAATGGCTGTCAGATATTGGCAAACGAATTGTTTAAGCTTGAGGCTTATGAAGTATAAAATCTTATTTTTATACCCTGTACCCAAAGGTACATATATTCTTGATCAGCATGACAAGCCGAATCGATATAGCCATGTCCGTCTGTCTGTCCGTCTGTATGAACGCAAGGATCTCAGAAAGTATAAGAGCTATAATAACAAAACTTGGTATACAGATTCTCCTGAGCTCGAGAAAGGACGAGTTTGTTCATTTTTTCTGATCCACCCCCCCCCCCCCCACTCCCCCCCTATTAACGATTTTCTATAACTCCCGTAATTCTTGGAATTTTGAACTAAAATTTGGTAGTCACATTAAGTTATAATTATATATCCGTATACCAAGTTTCATTATGATAGGTTGATCGGAAATAAAGTTATAGCCACATAACCAGGCCCAATGCACACATACATACGAGTACAAAAACTCGCATAGGCACGATTCTGATGTAAATGTAAATGTATGTATGCATGTATGGAATATTTTATATTTAATTTACATAATTAGTTTAATTAATTTAGTTAATTAATTAAATTAATTTAGTCAATTAATTAAATTAATTTAGTTTATTAATTTAATTTAATTAATTAATTTAATTTCTTTTTTGTGGGGTGGTACAGGGTATTTAAGAGTTCAGCCTGCTCGACTTGAGCATTCCTTTCTTGTTTGTAGATCATGTCTTAAGGCTTTGTATGCTTGTTTGCGCGGTCGAAAAGTATTATTTTTTGAGCGATCGTTTCTATTTAGATATTGACAAAAGAAAATAATATACGTTTACGGTTTCCACCAGCATACAAAACAGTTGCTCATAATACTACACTATAATACCAATATGTAGGTTTATCAAATGAGATTAATTACACACTTTTTGTTAGACCCGTAGCTTTAAGGAGTATTATAATAACGTTCTGTTTTTGTAACAACCAAAGTACACCTAATTCTGTTTTTACACGGTCTTTTTGTAAACGATTTTGATTTAACACGGTTTGAAAATTAACAATTTCATATATATTTCTTTAGAAATAAGGAAACAATCACATATTTTTGCATATGATCGATGTGTTTTTTGTACGTTTGTTTCTGGAACCATTCTACCGTGTAAAAACAGAATTAGGTGTACACGTATAGTTAACTAGCCGTCTATCTGTCAGTCTATATGAACACAAGAATCTCCAAAAGCTAATTCTATTGCATGCTGTTAGTGCTTATTTGCCTTTATTTCAAGTTCCATTTAGATAGATCATCTCCAAATATACTCTTATACTCAATAAGCGTCGCAGCAAGTTGATGAATAAAGTCGTTTTTTATAGCCTGTTTATACCTTAAGTCAGTGGAAATAAAAGTAATTTCAAAACCAAATCTTAACCTACATATACTAAGCTAATACTTTCAGTTGAAACTCACCTGCCACTCTGAACTTGCGCATCCACCCGCTCGGCATTGCGATACCATTGCACTCGGGGTGTGGGTTCCCCGATTACATCGCAAGGCAGCGTTACCTGCGCCCCGAACTCGCCGTAAGTCTCGCCCCGCATGGGCGTAAAGAAGATGGGCGGCTCTACAATTTCCACTTGCGCCTTGGCGTTCACGGTCTTGTAGCCCCCACTGCGCAATCGCACCTGGCACTCGTATTCGCCGGCATGGGAACTGTTGACCTGCAGAAGGGTGAGGGTGCGATTCCACGGATCGTTGAGCATGTGGGATACGCCGGCATCTTTAATGGCTAGTCCATCCTTGAGCCAGAGCGTTTCTAGCTCGTGCAAGGGTCGGGCATTGGCAATGCACTGCAACTCGGCGACTGCTTCGCCGCGTCTCAGCTTCAGATTTTGTGGTCGCACAATAATTTCAGGCGCCACCTCCACGTACGGATCGCCACTCACATTCAAATGCACATACGCGCTGAGCTCATCCTTGCCCAGTTGCGTGTTAATGGCACGTGCTCGATATGCCTTCCGATCGAGTTCATCGACGCTCAATATGATCAGTTGATCGGCCGACGTAAAGGCATACTTGATGTCATAGTTTAGCTCCCCATCTTCCGTTTGCCAAGACACAGATGGTTTGGGTACAGATTCAATCGCTGGCACATCAAATATGGCTGGATGACCACTTACGACGGTCATGTGTCCTTCGGTTGTGTTCTGAAATGTGCCCATGTCTGCAAAGAAAGATCGAGGATACAGAATTATTAATTAACGGGATGATTTTTTTAATGGCTATGTTTAAAAGGATATTTTGAAGATCACTTGATCTGTCGTAAAAATGTATCAACTAACTTCCCTTTTAACCAACTCCAAGCCAAATTTCATGGTAGTCTCTTACCTAATACTATTAATTAAATTGAATCAGAACAATTTATAAAACAAAAAATCAATTGATTTAACTAATTTATTGTTTTATTTAAATTAAATTCCAAAAAATAAAATAAACTCGTCCTTTCTCGGACCTAGGAGAATCTGGATGCCAACTTTGGTTATTCTAGCTTTTATAGTTTCTGAGATCCTTGCGTTCATCCAGACGGACGGACGGACCGACGGACGGACGGACATATTTTATGGGGTCGGAGATGCTTCGTTTTGCATGTTACATACTTTGCACAAACCTAATATACCTTTTTTACCCTACGGGTACAGGGTATAAAAATTTAACCGATTTTAACTCTCTAAATACGAAAGTATTCAACAGGTTTTAAGGTCAAATACTATCTTACAAGGGGAATCATTCTTTTTATGGTAAATTTTTTACCTGAGGGATGACGATACTTGGACAAAGCACAACTTTGTAACGAAAAAGTATTTTTAAGCCTTTGTTTTGAGTTGAATTTTGTGCAGCAATAATAATGTCTTCCTTACTAATTGTATGGGACACATTCAGAGCTTAAGTCTTGGCACTCTGTTTAATTAAATCAACCCCATGCATGCCCCCAATCAAGCCTCATCATAGTGCATTATCTGGCTATGCGCATATGGTAGTATCGTATGTATGTACTACGAGTATCTGATATACATAAGTGTGTCTGTTGGCTTTTGTTATTATATTGTTGCTGGCCCGCTTTTTATGCTCTCAACTGCGCTTTAAAGGTTATTAGTTCAGTTTAAGCACATTCCAACAATTAATTAAGTGCTCAAGACGTTCCATGGCGCTCCATCAGCCAGTCAAGCAGTCAGCTAGTCAGCTAGTCAAGCAGTCATTCAGAACTGCAGCCACTCCCTAGGTTTTGAGTTCAAGTTGCCGTTGCCGTTGCTGTTGCCAGCCACCATCATCGTCGTCGTCTTCTTCTACTTATGTTGGCGTGCCCAAAAGAAGGTCATCAGTAGCGTTCAGTGGGTCGGTCGTCGATGATGACACGAGGGATGGTGTTTAGCAAAAGACTCTAGGGGTAGGGGACATGCGGTGAGCGACGGCCAGTGGGAGGTGGGCAATGGTTGACGTGCAAGCGTTGAGCACTCGATTTATTAGGTTCAAGTAGTTTGTAATGCGCACTCACACACACACACACACACACACACACATATATATATATACACACACATACACAGGCACACTGAAGTGTTTGTTGTTGTGCTTCTCGTCACACTTGCACAACTGCTATTATTCTTGTTGTTGCTGTTGTCGTTGTAATTAAGTTCGCATTACAGAAAAATTAGCAGCCACATCTATCACGGAGTCAAAGGTTGTTACGCGACAAACAACACGACGCCCCCTCCTTTTTATGTCATGTGGCATTTCTGTCCCCAGCAATTGGCGTTCTTTTCTTTCTTTTTTTGTTTTTTCTACCAGCGGGTTAAAGTTTAAATGGCTCATTGCCTGTTTATTTCTGGACTGTTGCGCTGTCGGGCCACGCAATTGTGCCTGCCCGCTATTGACTGGAAAAGGTCTTCAGTATTTCGTTGAATCAGTTTTGAGAGCTCAGTAATTAAGGAAATTGAAAAAAATAAACAAAAGTGCAATTGTTGGGGCATCTATGTGTGGCGTGGTGTCAAAGACTGAGCACATTGCAGCTATTTTGGACTTCCTTTTTTTCTTTATATTTCATTTAAATGTTCATTATTTTAAGCACAAAAAAAGAGATCGTAAAATTATTCATTTAAAGTAATGATGATTATTATTTTCTTAGAATTAACGGATTTAAATTAAATTAAGTGCAGGTGTAATGATCAATATATATATGTGGCAAATTGTGGACAGTATTGATGCAATTCTGTAACAGGGGAAAAATAAATAAATGGGAGAGTAGACTCTCTCAGCAAGTTTGATCACTTAAGGGTGAGCCCTTTGCAAAATCTAGGCGTTCAAATGGACAGACGGTAGGACATGGCGAGATCGGACTGCCTTTATTCACTTTATGGGTCTAAGATATTTCTTTCTAACTGTTGTTACACACTTTGCACAAGCCTGAAAGGTAAACAATTTTTACCCTAGATGGCTAGACGGTCTAAAAAGAAGAATGCAATTACAATATTTACAATTTACATTTAAAAAAAGTAATTTTCCAGCTAACATTTATCTGAAATATGAATGTAACTCCTTTTAACATTTAGAGATTTCGAAAAAGATTGCTAAAAATATCTGTAACACCTAAAAGGGCGTTTTTCTTAAAATGCTATGTTATTTAGGTCGATCACATTTCCGTTTTATATAATGAAACACTTTAATCAGTGTTAATTGATGATTAATACTCCTTTCCTGTGCATAAAATACAATATATTTGCTTTAATCTGAAGGATCTGGCCGTGCTTGCCGAACTAAGCATTTGTTTTTAAAATTATAGCGCGCCTGCGCAAAGTTTTGATGTTCTCCTTGTCGTAACGTCATTGCTGCCACAGTTTTCGTATTGCTGCTTTCCTGGTCCCTAGTGCGAAATCACAGGCGACATTAATTAAACTGTAATTTGGTTAAGTCAACCATTGTAAAACTTTATGCTTTCACGTTTTACTATAGAGCTTGAAATTGTGAGATCCAATTAATCATCACCGAGGACAGAAGCTTTACTATTTACTATTTTTTTAGTTGACATTTATATTTAGATCGCATAAACGTATTATGTTTTCAACAATATTCAACAATGCGCGCACAACTATTGATGTCATTTTCTAAAGGTTCTTTTTCCGCCCTAGTACAATGGACTCGTGGAATGCGTCTCATTAATTCTTTGTGTACGAAGACACTCGCCAGATGGGCGTCGTCGTTGCCAAGCGACGCTAAATGTTAGTCCTTGCGGCACTTACATCGAATCCCTATTTATACTTGGGCAAGTAATAGCACGGCGAAGAAGGAGGACGAGCGGGTAAGACTCTATTAGAGAATCTATTTCATGCAGCTCTAAGAGATAAAATCACATAAAACATGCATATAAGGACATATGTACAATGAAAAGGTGCATGTATAAATGCATGAATAATAGTTGTGTCCAATTTACAGAATAATTGTTTAAAATAGCGCTGTGACAAAAAGCGTCATCATGACCAGCACAAAATTGTCTGAAGCTTTTTCTCGTGCAATAATAATAATGACGATTCAATAATAATAAATAATAATGGTAAACGATTATTAAAGGCTTTGATCTCTAGTCTAGTAAGTAAATTTCCGGATTTTATGTAGTTGTATAAAAAATGTATGTAAATGGACATAACGTCATTAGGATTTTGTATTCAATTACGATTGTATTCGCTATATTCCTTTCATAAAACGATGTTCTATTATCAATATTGTTGTATTTAATAAAGATGTAATTCCATAGAAACTCTCTGCCTAATTGATGGACAGGATTGTTTTAATTGTGAAAAATGTTATGGTTGTATTAATTACCATGAAGCCGTGTAGGCGCCTTTTCATGATCTAGCACACTTTTATTTCATATACATATATAAGTGTTTTGCTCCGGTTTTCGCTAATTGCAAGAATTGTGAATCCGAAAGAAAGCTTAAGGTGGAATATTCTATATGAAATAAAAGTCATCGGCCAAAATATAAAACCCCCAAAAATTAGTTCTCAAATTAAAGACCTGGATTGTAGTTTCTATTGAATTTATTCTTCCGAAACACAAATCAAGTTTAAGATCGATTTAATAAAAATTCAAAATTTTTTTAGACGACCCTCTTACCATTTTGGAGTTCGAATTTTGTTACACTACTATGAAAGGAAACTTCTCAACAGTCAATCATTCAGTTAGTTTGGCAGTCAGACGGAACAAAGTGCTTTATATACATACTATATACAAGTATATGTGTACTATTTATAGATGTGCTATTTTGTGCTTGGCCTGGACCTTCATGATTCCCATAACAGTTTTCGAGACGTTCGAGCTGCAGCTATGTGAGGACGATTTAAGCGAACTTTAAGTCAACTTTGTTGCATACACGATTCAACCCAAGTGACCTCAATGGCTATGGTGGGGTGGTGGGAGGTGATATAAGCAGGCAGCTTATCGTTGCCAATATCAAGTTGGCATCGCTTCGGTTTGCTCGTTTTGTAAAGTCCGTGTCGTCCTTTATGTGTGGTGTGTGTGTGTGTGTGCAAATCAAAAGCAGTTACATGGCTCGCCAGCGATTACGTATTGCTTATAACGGTCTAAGCGTTCGCTTAATGCGCTTATGTATTTGATAAAGCCAATTTAACACACATACACACACACACACGCACACACACAGACCCACTAACCACTTCCACTTGCATATGGCAGCTTATTAGCTGCATATGCGTGCGTGTGTGTGTGCGTGGGTGCTCGTGCGTATGGATGTGGATGTGGATGCGTGAACTAGCTTACATGTGTACTTACAGGCAACAACAATATCAATTTTTTCACTGAATATGGAGCCAGCATCGTTCTTGGCAATGCACTGATAGCTGCCGGCATCCTCGCGTCTTGTGTTGTGGATGCGATAATATGGACTGGATGAGTTATCGCTAACGGGTTCGCCATCCTTGAGCCAGCGATATGTGGGCTGTGGGTAACCTGTAAGTAGAAGCAAAAACACACACATATATATAAAAATATGACATGTAAATAAAGAGTTCAAAATAAAGGAAGGAGAGACGGATAGAGAGAGAGAGAGAGAGAGAGAGAGAGTGAACGCAAAAAGAATGAAAGTTAAATATGAGCGTGCTATGCCTTGGGCTGGCTACCACATGAGCTATTGTTGCATAATGAAAATGTTTTTAAAACCAATATATCTCTCCTTCACTCATGGCAGTGTGTGCATGGCATGCAAAACGAGTCAAGTGCAAGATTAAATCTTATTCAGACAGCGAGGCAGCTCGCCTCGCATCGACCAGGGCCACCAGCCACAGTCACAGCCACAGCTATAGCGAGAGCCACAGGCTCAGAGACAGGCAAAGGCAGGAGCTGCAGCAGAATCAGCTCACACAAAAGAGGATATTATTTCTGTCAGTGTGAGCTTTTTACTATTTGTTTGAGCTTCCGTTGCATATCGAGGGACCAGCACCAGTACCAGCACCATCAGCTTCGTCCTACTCGATTTGGCACACAATTTGCAAAAAACGATCGACATTTGGGGTGGCAGGCAGTGGCAGTGGTGGAGAGATTGGTGAGTGGTGAGGGGGGTATGAGGGTAGACGCCTCAATAGACGAGACTTAAATAAACGACGTTTTTATTTCGTTAGACGTCGGCGTTTTGATTTCGATTTGTGGCCGACCAACCGAGCGACTGTGCAAAAAGTATTTAAATTAAAGTTTATTTATCTATGGCCAATGGGCAGGATTCAGGGCAGGCTAAGCAGCAGCAACAACAACAACAACAACAGCAGCAGCAATGGCAACGGCAGTGGAAACAGCGTTTGCACTTTGACGTAATGGCATTTGCAAAGTTGTTGCTGTTGAAATGAAATTGCAATTGCAATTGCTAAACAAAAATTACATGTGGTGGGGTGGGCTGATGCGGTGTGAAGGGGAGAGGGCGTGGCAGTAGCAGTGGATAACCGATGGCAGCAACTAAATGAAACTATGAATAAAATATGCGATTTACCTAACTTAGAACACCAAAATGCTAAAGCTAGAGCGAACAGGTTGAATTTATCCGCAGATGCATGCAACATTTTTTTTCCATTCCTTTTTGCTGTTGCTGCGCAAAGCCCAGACAAGCTCCAGGAAGCGCAACAGGATGCGACAGACGGCAAACGGCAGACGACTGAATTACTGACTGAATGGTGGCAGGCAGGAACAGCAGCAGCAACAGCAGCAGCAGCAGCAACTTAGGGATGGCCAAAAGGTGATGGCAGCAGTTGGTGAGTGCCTGCGGAAGAGGCTCACTTGCTGCCGCCATTAAACAGACACTCGCACACACATGCACACACATACATACACACGTCTATATATGTATGTATGTATATGTCTGTATATGCAAGCAAACAGAAAAGCAGATGGGCAGACAAGCCGACAGATAGAGAGAATTACAGACAGATAGGCAGACACAGTGGCAGTCAACGTTTGGGCCAACTGGAAGTTGCAGCTTTAGCACGATTTAAAAATATACGTAACTGATGGACATGAGCAGAGGCTGAAAGAGCTGAATGAATTGCCAAGAATGGGCAACTGTCTCATTTATTTTCGTATTCTTCGTCTTCTTCTTCTTCTTCATTTTGTACTATTTTTTGGAGAAAATGCAATTGAATTTAATACACGAAGGCGACGCGTATAACTATAGCTATATATAGTAGAGCTGCTTCAAGCAACAGCCAAATCGAATTGAGCGTGGAGAAGTGAAGCGCAGCTCGCGCAGCAAGGCAAAAGTTTCAAGTGGCAAAAGTTGTGAACGGCTAAGCAAGCTAAAAGTATATTTGAGCATTTGGGCAATGATGCTGCTATAAAATTACAATTTGGGGAATCGTAAGGCACACACACACACACACACGCACACCCTTCTGACCAGAACGAAAGCCGAATAAAAGCAAATGCACAAAAATGTACTCAGGCGATATGTGTCAGCGCAAAATCGATGTGAAAGCTCAATAAGCAGGCCAAATAGCCATTCATGTGTGTGTGTGTGTGTGTGTGTGTGTGCAGAAATGAGTTTTTAACTAAACTGACAAATCCTTTAAGCCAATAGGCCTACAAATCATTCAGGCCAGCAAAATAGTAATAGCCGTGACCAAAACAAAACAGAAAGCCTGTAATGTCGATTTGAAAAACGACAAACAACTCAAAAATAAGAACTTGACGCCCCAAAATGTATGCTACACATTTTACTCTCATCACTTTTCACATTGACACAATACAACAACAACAACAAAAAAACGCCTGTTAAAATGTTGCTCTAAGGCAACAGCAAAATGAGAAGCAGCCACTTGAGGAAGTAAGTCAGGCAGTCATTCAGTCAGTCGGATAGACAGGCAGGCAGTTATTCTGTTAAGTTTGTCAACGTCTAAGAAAGTGTAAAAATAATTGTCAAAATTTCTCCAATAGCACTCACATAAAATTTAAGCAAAATTTGTGGTTGGGTGAATTTTGTACTTTAAAGAACTTCGATTATTTGGCATTGACCATTTAAAATCTACACAAATGATAGAGGCAGTTGGAATGTGGGTGACAAAATTATATATTTTTTTAAATTCTACATTTTGTTGAGGTCTAAAGGATATCAAAAGGAAGCTAAAATAACGCAATATTTGTACATTTTAACAACTGAATAATTAAAGCAACTTAAGCAACCTTTTCTTTGCCAAGATTGTTCGCAGAATTTGAGAATTCCAACCGCCATATTAAAAAAAAAATTAATGACCATTGCTGCCGTAATTCTTGGAATTTCAATCAAATTTAAAAACTACATCTCCGGTTAGTGCGTATGTGTTCGTGTATTTCATATCAATTGTTAAGAATTGTGTAGCCATAAAAGTAATCTCTGCCCGCAGCTGTTGTTGTTGCTGCTTTGGCTGAGCTCTGTATTGCACATGCATATACACATATATACAGTATATACGATATAAATGTGTGCTTTTGAAGCTGTACATTAACATATATTTACGTGCGTACGTATAGTTTCATTTAATTGGTTTCATTTAAAAATAATTAATTCACAAAATATTTGGCATAATTTGTGTTTGTTTGTGAAAATGGGTGTTAAAGGGTATTAAAGCGGCGGGCCCCCTAGATTGTTGCATTCCATTCTAGTTATTTTCATCGGTTTGTAAATCAAATTATGTTTTTAGCTTTTGCTATTCATTTATTTGTCAGTCAACACCCTGTTTTGGGTTGAATTATTAAAAAGTAATAATAATACAAATAAAATTGACTTCGCCATATCTATTTATTATGTTTAAAAGAGCGGACGCAATTTATTGTAAATAATTCATCACATATTCAACTAAAGAATGTGCAGTTTAGCAATTCCATCTGTTTATGCTTAATTCCTTCGATTTTCCCTTAACAGTGTGGAATTCGTTGATTCGTTTTGAAAAAAAATGGATTGAAAGGTTTGATTCAATATTCATTAATTTCCAATTTAATTAAATTTGTTTTCCCATAAATTAATTTAATCATGAAATTTCATTTAATGTCCTTTTCAAATATGAGATTTGCTCACCCTTTGCAGATTTAACGAACTGCATGAATAAATGGTTTTTTGTTCAGCAGCAAATTAAATATTTAGTGATGGAATAAAGAGTCGGAAAATCCAAATGTTTAAAGTGTAAAAAGAATCAAAATACATAACTCTATGGGATTTGTCAAATGCAGGACATCTGCCTAATGCTGCACTAACTGGGCGTCAGTCATGCACCAAGCAGCCAATCAATCAGTCAATCATTTAGTCTGTCGCTCAATCACATATTGAGGCAGTCATATAATGGCAAGTGAAGTGAAAAAAGTAAGTATACACGAGTATACGGTGTGAGGAATGATGTATGTATGTATGTATTCAGTTCAGTTGCTAAGCTGAAGTGCCCGAAAATTCCGAGCAACAACAACAACTGCAAAAACAACAGCAGCAGCAGCAACGGTAACAGTCGAACTGCACTTGGCATTTGCCAGCATCCTATCAGTTGGTCAGTTAGGTTAGCAGGTTCGTTATGTTTGCTAACCGCAGGCGGCATACATTGTGTATGATTTTTGTTGGCTCTCCACTTTAAAATCCCTCTCCTCTGTTTTTTTTCACTTAATTGCATTTTTTTATATGCTACCAAGAAAATACAAGGTTTGTGGTCATGTACTATGTAGTATGTAGCATTGAAAACTTATTCGCTTTATCCTTTAGGGGCTACACAAGCAAAATATGTGAAATTCGTCTCTACCGATGGATATTTGCTTCCATACATTAGGTTTTATATTGGTTTTCGGTTTTTTTTTTTTGTTGTGTGACGTCTTCTTTGCCCGATATTTTCATACTTTCTCATACGCTCTCACTTTCTGTCTTCACCTTCGAAGGCGGAAGAGATGGGAATCTCTTGAATAAATGTGCATTTCGGAGAATGCAAAAATAAGTTATTGATGTCGTTCGATGCAAGCAAAAGGGAATTACGTAAAAAGTCCATTGTGCAGCGATTTCTTTGAACATTTTTATTTTACTGTACAATAATAGAGCTAGCATATGTTGGAAGTATCTAGAATGATTGTTCGATAGTTGAGAATATAGTTTAAAGCAGTTAGAGCTGATCTGATTTCAGCTAAGATATTGTAAAAGATATATTAATTAATTAATAGACCTTATTGCACAGCTTTTTCTTAGGCTTTCTTCTCTTTTAAGTTTAGATTATAATGGTATATTAAGTCATATCATCATTTGAATTTGTTTTTTTTAATATAAGTATATAAAATTGTAAAATATACTTTAATAGTTATAATGGAATGTATCGACAGAACTATTGTTGATTTACTAAATAAATGAATAAATAAATAAATATTGTGGATAGCCTACGCTGCTGGATAACGATTATTGTCCAGCGAAGTAGTGACAAAGATCAAAGGAAATCTATCCATAGTACTTATTGATCGCATTTAATCTA